TTTAAATGATTTTGCACCATGTGTGCAGCCCACAAGTGCAGGGGATGCTCCCTCCTGCAGCTGATCTCCTTCTCTGCCACACACACACATTTCTCCTGCTGCATCGCTTTGTGAAGGATTCACTCTTTGCTGTCCAGATCGACTTTTGTGTTTCAACTTAAAATTCAAAGTGTCACATTGTAAAATCGTCATAATCGCAAAATCTAAAAGTGTTCAAAGTGATTTTTAATTATTTTAGAACTTCTATGTTCAGTTGTTTCGATGTAATTGGTCAAGAAGTACATTTCTACTCCGTGCTGCAGAGTGTGACATCACTTTGATGTCCTGCTGCACTTCTCTATTTAAAATGTTACAGTATTTAAATTTAAATTGTTTATTTAAAGAGGGAGTAACAGGTGATGAGTGTGATTACAGCCTGGCACATGTCATGACAAAGTTTACTGAACTTGAATTTGGACATCTGTATCCATACTTCATGGTTTTTTCACTTATCATGGGTGGGCGTGGTCCCAAACACCCGCGATAAATGAGGGACCACTGTGCATGATGATTCTTTTGGATAGGTGTGTTTCCATGTGTTAAAAGTCTACTTCTGAGATTCCAACAGGAGGTTGGCTTGAAACAGCAGTGAAGACTACCTATGGGACAGATCTGGTTGGCAGGCCGCAAACTGAGGAAGTCCTCTGGATGGGGGATGAAATGCTTCTCTCCTAAACTCTTGAACTCTGCAAATCTGAGGCCGCTGGACTGGACACTGCAATCATCTCCTCCTGTGGTGGATTCTACAAGGATGGCCCTGATAAATGCCAGATCGCTGGCTAATAAAACTTTTATTTTGAATGACTTTTTCTGCTGCAACCGACTGGACTTTCTTTTCATCACTGAGACTTGGAGCAGCCCTGGTGAGATCAGTGTTTTTCTGGAATTACTGCCTCCGGATTGTTCTTTTTTCAATGCTCCAAGGACAACTGGTCGTGGTGGAGGATTATTGGCTGTTTTTAAGAAACATTTCCAATGCAGACAGCTCCATGGTTCAGCCAATTATTCGAGTTTTGAACTGCTCTGTTGTGAGCTGGGCCGCTCCAACCCAGTTCTGTGTGCTATTTTTTACAGACCCCCCGGATACCATAACAGTTTTTAAATGAACTCTCTGACTTTCTAACTGGTATTCTGCTCCAATATGATCGGGTTTTGATTTTAGGAGACTTTAATATCCACGTGTGCTGCCCTGATAAGCCATTAGCTCAGGACTTTCTAGACCTCATCCAGTCCTTTAACTTTGTTCAGAGTGTTGTTGGTCCGACTCACCAGCAGGGCCACACTCTTGACTTAGTTTTAACGCATGGTTTGTCTGTTTCTGATTTAAGCCCCCAGTATACTGCTGCATACATCCATAGGCAGAGGTACGCACGTACGTATGCAGAGGTACGAGCATACCCCCCAGGGCATGTCCGTGCAAAGTTCAAATTTTTACGACCACATACGCGTACGTGGTGTCACACAATAAACTGCCCAGCGACGGACTGTTTTGTATGCAACATCAATGTATTAAATTCCCCTTCTTCATCACTGATCTGGCCTTTTCTTTTGTTTTTTTGCCAAGAGGCAGTGATCTCTTCCTCCTCCGGTGATGCCACGATTGAAATGGTGAGAAATGAAGGAATTTGTCACGAGCGAATTAAACTCAGGTCCAGCGTGGCTGCAGGAGGGTCTGGAGATTTCCTGGTGGGCTGGTCTGATGTGTGGGCTGCAGGGCCAGCGCTCCCTGTTTTTTTTTTTTAGATCTTTTTATTAACAACACATAAACACAGAGACAGCTGTACTAAGGGTCTGTAATGACATTCTGCTAGCGAATGACTCTGGTCAGTCTGTGATCCTGGTACTCTTCGACCTTACCGCTGCATTTGACACTGTTGATCACAGCATCCTTATGTCACGGCTAGAACACTGGGTTGGGATTACAGGGGTGGCGCTAGAACGGCTCCGTTCGTATCTGGGTGACAGGAGTTTTTGTGTTAACTTTGACAATCATTTATCTGCTTCTGTCCCTCTTTCCTGTGGGGTCCCACAAGGCTTCATTCTTGGACCCCTTCTGTTCTCATTGTATCTGCTCCCCTTGGGGTCAATCCTGAGGAACATTTCGTTTCATTGTTACGCCGATGATTCTCAGATTTATCTGCCTTTAAAACCAAACAGTTCCTGCTCCATCCACCTTTTGCTAAAATGTCTTGATGACATCAAGACTTGGATGGCTGCGAACTTCTTGAGTTTTAATGATCAGAAGACTGAGGTCATTGTGTTTAACCCAAGCTCTACCACTGTCACTGATCCTGTAAACCTGCACTCCCTTCAGCCACATCTAAAGCAGTCGGTTACCAATCTCGGGGTAGTGTTAGACTCGGACTTTAAGTTTAATAACTTTTTAATAAAAAAGCTTCTTTCAGCTAAGGCAACTAGCAAAGCTCAAGTCTGTTCTGTCCAGTTCCAACCTTGAAAAACTAGTCCATGCATTTATTACAACCCGGCTGGACTACTGTAACTCACTTTATGTTGGGATTAGTCAGGCTACACTTTCACGTCTCCAGCTCGTACAATATGCGGCAGCTTGGCTACTAACAGGAACTCGCAGGTTTGAGCACATTACTCCGGTTCTGTCCTCTCTTCACTGGCTTCCTGTGCGTGTCAGTATCAATTTTAAAATTCTCCTGCTGACATTTAAGGTTGTTTTCACACCATATAGTCCAATAGACTCTGTTCGGTTGGGGACCAGTATTCATGACCTTTTGTTTACATTTGAGCTGGTGTGTTTGCATTCACACTGCACTGTGTAGTCGAGTCAACCTGTTGAACCAACCTATTCCCCCGCTCGCCTGTGGGGGCGCTGCACCAAGAACTACTGAAAGAAACGACACAAAAACCTCCGAAGACACTTCTTTTTCTTCTTCTTCTTCTGGAAATAAAAACAAAAACGGAGTGGCATCAAGTTTTAGCAGTTTTAGGAGTTATATTTTGTCATTTTTCAAAAATGGACTCAGCATGAGCAGAAGATGAGACAGAAGACCATGGAGAATATTGTTTTTCACACAAGGCAGCTGACGGCTCCATATAAGGTCAGAGAAATGCGTGTTTGTTTGTCCTGCGCTGTACTCCACTTCTTGCTTGTGGAGCGGGGCTCGGTCTGTTTACATTCACACTGCACTCGAACCGTGCTGGAGTTCTCTTCTACCGGACCGAGACCTAGGTTTTAGCCCGGGCCAGAGTTCACCTTTTTGTTCCGTGACAGAGTTTGATGATGCGTTCACACCTCCCCAAAACAAACCGGACTTTCTAGGAAAACGAGCTAGAGTTCGATTAAAGCGGACTAAACAGGGCTGGTGTGAATGCATTAACGGCCTTGCACCCTCATACCTCTCTGACCTCCTTCATCCTTATGCTCCTTCTCGGGCTTTGAGATCATCAGACCAGCTGCTTTTGGCCGTACCTAAAACCAGGCTGAAGCTCCTAGGAGATCGAGCATTTTCAGTCGTGGGCCCTAAACTCTGGAACAATCTGCTCATCAACATTCGACAGGCCACCTCAGTCTCTGCTTTTAAATCTCTCCTAAAAACACATCTATACTCATTGACATTTAACACAGGCTGATCGGATTTAGATCTAGTTTTTCATTGATGCTGATTCTGTTTATGCTTTTGTTATTATTCCTATTTAACACAAGGTCATCAGATCTGATTTAGTATTTCATTGTTTCTGACTGAGTTTATGCTTTTTGTTATTATTTCCTTGAGTTTTAACACAACGTGATCAGATTTAGTATTTTGTTGTTTCTAATTATGTTTTTGGTTTTATATTTTTATTCCATGTGCTGTAAATATATCTTGCTACTTTTTATCTGATGATGTGATATTTTTGTTAAGCACTTTGGTAACAGTTTCTGTTTTAAATGTGCTCTATAAATAAATCTGACTTGACTTAAACAAACTGGTCCAGATGACACAATTGAACCTTTTTTGTTGTTATCTACCTGGATGACAAACCTCTTTCTCAATTGCTGCCTAACAATTCTTGTATTTTGGCGTATGCACGTGTGACTTGATACAGGAAGAAGATCCGCACGTGCTGTGATGAGCTGAACACGATGGTACCGTTCTGCATCTCTGACACAGACAGACTCTCCACCCTGCAGTGGACCCTGACCTACCTGAAATACATCAATATAATGTATGGAGACACCATCAAAGAGGTTGGCCTTTCAAACACTGCCCGATTAAAACATTTTCTCTGACCTGAAGATTTTTATAACCAAGCACACCAACAGATTTTATAACATGTTTAAATGTGTCTGGATCCAGCAGACATTGTTGTCACTGTAACAGATTACCCACCGCTTGTGTTTATTGTGGGTGTTGGTGTGCACCATCTAAAGGGAAGAGGAAGTCTAGTAAAATAGCTTGGATTGTGTCTGTCATGAACTTTTCTTCCTTTGCAGGAGTTTGAGAAGTTCTTCACTCAGAAGAGAGAAATGTTACTTAAACCCAGCTCGTCTTCAGGTAACCACTCGTTCCACGAAGAGATAGATGAGATGGCGAGCGTTCCCCTCTCAGCCGAACAATGACTCCTCCTCGGTTAATGGAGCAACAAAGATTACATTTAAAATCTGTAGGGCTAAGTTGAAAAGTTTAGTTTAATTAACTAAGCATGTGACTCTGATTACACTCTGAACATGTAAAAGGTTTACAGTGCCCGACTGGTGCAGTTTCACCTGACTTCCACTAGATGTCACTAGTGTTTACATTAACAAGAGTGAAAATGGTTTCTGAAAAATTATTCCTAAACTCACGATACCTGTATTTATTCTCTGTTTATATATTTATGCATTTTAATACAGAAATAAGTAATTTGAGAATCAGCTGTTTTTTAATTTTTACAGTGTTTAAAGCATACTTTTGTTCTGAAGTGCAGGTTGCATATGTAGAGAAGAGTAATGGTTACTGAAAAGTGGCTTTATTTGTTCTTACAACATGTCGCTGTAGCATCTTACTGTACACAAAACAGTCACCCACAAATAATAAATAGTATTTAAACTTTTGTATATTTAATAGTTACAGCACCTGTATTACATTGTGGACGTGGTTGTTGTCGATTTGGGAAAAAAAAAACAAAAGAAAAGAAATTTTAAAACTCAGAAAGCGCTCGTGTTTCCTAACATTTATATATTTTACATGTCGAATTTATGCATCCACAATTTTCTGTTTGTGATTCTCAGCGATGGCATATCAACTTCATAAGTAATTAAAAAACAAACAAAAAAAGAAATAAAAAAGCTGTAAAAAGGCTATTGAGTTTTGCATTAACCTAAACTATTTTAGGGCACTGGGTGTTTGTGTTTTATTACTTTTACAGTACATACACAGCTCCTCGACAGAGGCAGCACCTATTTCCATATTTTACACTGTCGGCGTGTATGTTGAGGTAACACCTGTGAACATCTGGCCGTGATGAATGCATGTTCACATTGGAGACAGTCACTGTTGTTTTTAGAGCGTTGTTTGCCACGCTGATGTTGACCAAAGTAAACGTGGCAAAGAAACGTACAAAGTTTTTATTCACAAAGGTTGTTCCGGTTGTTGTTCGATGACGTTTGGGTCGACGCAGTTGTTCTGCTGCACTTTTCCATTCCACTCTCCATCATTTCTGGATACTACGTGTGGTTTATTTATGTATTTATTTATTTTTGTCTCAGTTGCTTTGGTGTTCATCACTTCCTGGGATGTTCCTCCATTCCTTTCATCATATTGCACCGGCTGATGTTATTCTTCCCATCTTGTTTTTTTACATTAATTTAAATAAAGAGGGATTTGTTGTGATCGTTGTCTTGTTTTGTTCCTTCCCTCCTCATGTATCACCCTCTTTTCCTCGGAGTGGAGCAGTCAGGCTGCAGGAAGTCATCTTTAAAAATTTTTGGGGTTGGAGGATTTCCCGACGACCGAAGCTCCCTGGCAGGCTGATGTATCACAGATCCCAGGAGGGCCCTGGTGCCCAGTCCTACCTACCCTGCCTGGCTCTCCAGGCTCACCTGGGTCTCCTGGAGACCCGTCACGGCCGTCTTTGACAATTCCAGCTACTCCGGGCAGACCTAAGAAGGAAACATTGTAGATTATGGTAGAACAGTGCAGCTAGTTATCAGAAACAAACCTTATTAGAGATGTGAACTTCCTGTCCCATACCTTGGTGTCCTTGGTCTCCAGAGGGTCCATCAATGGCTTTACCAGTGAGCCCTTTATCACCAGACTCTCCAACATCACCTGTGTGGAGAAAAAAATAAAACAACTGAAGAAAAATTGTTTTTCTTGGTGATATTTTGTTAAAATCTTAGACCTTTTTATTAGATGCAACTTTAAACTACATTTCGCTAGAATTACATTTTATGTATTTATTAGCTGTACCATATTTAATTTAGTTTCAAAGCAGTGTTCCATAACATTTTTGGTTTTGTACTATTTATTAAAAAAAAACAAAACCTGTTGTCTCGTCCCAGATGGCTGTTCTATTCTTTTTCACAAGATATTTTTTCACCTCAGTCTGTCCCTTATGGATGAATTTACCAACAACCAAAGCTCAGAGGGGTCCATTTGTCACATATTAAACAAGGAACAAGATTTCCAGCTTACACATCATATTAATCTGGAACATTTAGACATGACTGTAGTTTTTATTCAACAAATCTAGTTGCATTTTCTTAAGAGTGTAAAAAAAAATTAAAAATAGATTGTGCCCCAAATAAAAATAAATATGAAAATTTGTGCTTTTTTTAAAAAATTATACCTCTGGGACCTGGATCTCCCAGCTCTCCCGGTAGGCCACTGTACCCTGGTGGTCCTCGAGTGCCTGGATGTCCAATAGTTCCTGCAACTCCTGGCTTTCCTGGAGGGCCTGCAGGGCCGGGGCGGCCCACCATTCCAGGTGCCAGAGGCCTTCGAAGGTTAGCAGCCAGCTGTGCGATCTGATCTGTACGACAAAAAAAAACAAATCAGCACCGCGGTGGATCTTAGTTGGTGATCAAGTCAAGATCCCTCACCGTCGATCATCGAGCCACACAGCTCTCTGATGTGCTGTTCACTCGTCAGTTTACCCTGAAACGCAAGAAGACCTTAAACCTCATTCATGCAATTTATACGTACTTGTATATTAAAAAACTTCAAATCCTACACGGTTCTGTATAGGTTCAAAAGAGATACTCACAGGTACTCCTGTCTTTCCTGCGATTCCTGGCAGACCCTGTTCCCCTTGGAAGCCCATTGGTCCCTGTTTTCCTGGAACCCCTCTTGGCCCAAGCTCTCCTTGTGGACCCGTCACACCCTTAGGCCCCAGTTCCCCCTGCTTCCCTGACTACAAACCCAAAGTAATCACTTTTAACACCTGTGGATGTTTTAGCAGGAAACAAATCGTTTTCCTCCAAACTGCTAAAAAGGCATGCCTTAGATTAAACACCCAACTGAAGAACAAGCTGCTAAAGACAACGCGGAGGCGGATTCATATGGAGCCTCGTTGCAAGATAATGACTCCAATGAGCACCGCAAACAGTAAATGAGACTAAGAGAGCGGGGTTCATCGGTGCCGCGTCTCTAATTACACAAATTATGCTGCAGCTTAGTGCGACTTGTGTTTCCCTCGTGGCAGGAGCAGCAAACAGGTCAATAACGCTGGAGCCGCTCTTTCAATCTGCAAATAATCCGGTTAAACCTGAAGCCGAGCGGACGCGTGTGTCGGCTCTGACAGGCGGACAACCGCTCGGAGCGAGACATCGGTTTTTAAAGCTTAGAGAGGGAGAAGACACAGAGGGAGTTTGGAGCAAATAGCCTGCTAATTACACCCACACACAACATCTGATCTGTTTGTGCGATTAAAAAAAAGTTTTTTTTTTGGAAAGCCAGTTTGAAGGGTAGGTGTCTGGATGAGATACTGTAGATTTAACAGTAAAACATGGATAGATGACTCACCTCTCCTTTCTGTCCAACTGGCCCAAAAGGTCCCTACAAACAAAGACATTGTTTTAGACGAACGCCCCCTTAGCTCGTCGCAGAGTCAAGAAGAAAGACGCTGCACATTTAAAACAAAAAGTCCAACAAATGAGAGATTCAAATTGAAGTCGAGACACTCACGGGCTCTCCGTTCTCTCCTGGTAAACCATCACTTCCTGCCACACCCTGAACACAAGAGCTCAGTTAGTCCAAGAGCTAAAGTTTAATCTGATCAATTTAATGCCTTCATCATCTTTGAAGAAAAAACACAAGAGAAGTATTTAGGCTTGCCAAGCTTGACCTTTGACCTACCATGTCTCCTTTAACTCCTGAAGCTCCAACTGGACCCTGCAGGGTTAGAAAAACATGGAGGGAGAGAAAATCAGTGAAAGTCAAGCAGAGATTTTTTTTTTTTTTTTTTGTGGTAGAGGTAGAAGAGGGAAGAGAGAGGTGTGCTGGTTGAGGGGGAACCAGGGGGGACATAAAGGCCGGCTTTGTTCTGACTTCAGGTTCTGAACAGGAGGCTGCTTTGTGCACGTGCGCTCTCCTGACTGCGGTGTGCGCTTGTACCGATCGGACCGAGGCAAGATGGTAACTCCTGCGGTATGAACGCACACACCTCCCTGCAGATTCTCGAGATATCGTTTGAGCTCCTTCAGATATTCTACAGCGACATTATTCATGCTGATGTCTGGATGGATCACTTAGGACTTTACTTTGGGCGTTGGAAACACTTTCAAACATTTTACACACCACTTTAAAAATAAACCATGGCGGCAAGCACAAACTGGACCCCGTGTAATAATGGGGAAGACTCACTCGGTCGCCAAACTCTCCACGGAGTCCCGTTGGCCCCGGAAGACCTGGATCACCCAAACCTCCACTGACTCCCTGCAGCACATGAAACACACACAGTAAATAAAAAAGTAGTATTATAATAGCCATAAAAATAATATGAAGCGTTTTCATGCAGCTGACCTGGAAGCCTTTCACTCCCAGTGGGCCAGGATTGCCCGCTGGTCCGACACCTCCCTGTTGGACATGGACACAGTTAAACGATGAGGCTATTCCAGGTCAGAGAAGAAAAACTCAACCAACAGGCGCAGCGATTGTCAGACTTGTTATGCAGCACACCGTGTGGTGGTACTCTGTTATATCCTGCTGCATCGGTTTTTTATTTTAATACTTGGAGCCTCTGATGTGAAACAAAACTCTTTCTGTTTATGAATTCCTCCTTCTGTTATTCTTGCATATATGCCTCCATCTCCAAAAAGTTACTCCACCCTGCCATGCCGGTGAATCAGAGGGAATGCTCTTACTTTTCTAGGAAATAATTAGAAACAAAACAGCTGTCTCCTTATTATGTTGCCATCCCAGGTTCGTTTAGCTGTGAGCCGCTAATCATTCTGGCTGTTTTGCATCGATTGCATCCTGTTTTAGTCTTTATGTCCTCGAGTGCACAAACTAGTAGTTGCACTATATCTCAAAGTGTGGAGCCATATTTAGCAGACAAGTCTGGCCTGTAAATGGGGCAGGGATCATCTTTATTTGCCCCATCATAAACGAAGCGTTATGTGAATATCGTGCTCGTATTACAGCAGCTTTTGAATGTGGCGGTTTTTAATGTCTAGCGTGAGCATGAACTTACCGCCACTCCTCTGGGGCCGGCTATCCCCCTCTCTCCCGGGACGCCAATCTCACCCTGAGGATGAAGATGTAGACAAGTCAGGAAGTCTCGGAGATTGGGCATGCTGGGTTAAGTGACACATCGAAGTGGCTGTTACCCCTTCCCCAACAATAACGTCAGATACATACAGGAATACCTGGCTCTCCAGAGGGTCCCGCTTCCCCAGGTTTCCCCGGATCACCCTTGTGTATAAAAAGCAAGAAATCAGCTCTCTATGCTCCTCATCTTAAGTGAAGCTTTTTTTTTCTGAGAATTTGTCTGCAACACTCACAACTTCTCCTTTGGAGCCCTTTTCTCCAGCTTTTCCTTGTAAGCCCTAAGAAGTCATGTGGAGGATGTTAAACTATTAGCAGTCTCATCATTACAGAGGAAATAACAGAAACTGCAACTTAGATGGGAGAATCATACTAAATCACAACATTTAGTAGCCACATTGGCAGGAAACAACTATTTAAAGGTACTCACAGGAAGTCCATTTGGCCCTTTCTCTCCCACTACTCCATGGCGTCCAGGATCACCCTGTCAGCAGACGGACAACACCCTGGCTGTGGGACTCAGTTCAAACTTACAATCATTCAGGAAGACGTCATGGCGGCTTACCTTCTCACCATCCAGCCCTGCTGTCCCATCTTTACCATCTCTGCCAGGCATACCCTGTTAAAACCATTAAAAATGACCCTCATGCTTATGAACTGATGCAGAGGTATACATTTATGTATGTGAACTTACTGGATCCCCTTTGGGTCCCAGTCCCCCAGGAGCTCCTTTGGGACCTATTTTACCCTGATAACAAGACAAATAAGATACTTCATACTAAAAGAGTCATACATTCTGAGAGGTACAAACCAGAAGTTTTGGCTTACAATTTCTCCTTTAGGTCCTTTGAACCCATGTGGTCCTTTTTCCCCAACATCACCCTGCAGACATCAGATAAAACACACACACAGCTATTCACTGATGGGACCAGCCATCCATACTGGCTTTGAGTTACCAATAAGCGTAGCTGTGGTGGTAAGCGTGAAACAAACAAGGAATGACTCACTGGCTTGCCGATGATGCCTGCGATGCCGGGCTTGCCTCTGAAGCCGGGCAGGCCCTGCAGACAAACAGAGGAGGCTGAGGTCAAATAAAACGTTGCCACACACATTTAAAAATCTGCACAGGGACAAGGAAGGTGAAACAGGTGGGAAGGAAGCTTACTCTGTCGCCTACAGATCCCATTGGGCCTTGTAAACCTCTCAGACCGCGTGGGCCCTGAAATATACCGTTGGAGAATTCATAAAGAGCTCACATTTAGAAACATGTTCAGTAATTTGACAATGTGATAATATCTCACCTGCAGACCCACAGTGCCAGGAGCACCTGCTGGCCCAGGTGGACCGAGGTCGCCCTAGAGACAGAGCAACATACTTCAGGACACCATCACGTACATATAACACTTAGTATTCATTGAATAAATACATATCACCCACTGCCTTTCATGTCCAAGCTTTAAATTAGAATAAGAGATGACAGGGTTATCACCATTTTGGTCAAACTTTGTAAATGATGTTTTACACACTCTTGTGCCATTTTGCAACATCTCATGAGATGTGTTAACTCTCAGAGGACGAGTTCAGGTTGACACTCAGCTACTTGTTGTTTCTTTCAGCTGTTCCAGTTTGCAGTGATTGTAACAGTGGGCAAACTCGTCTTCTTCTTCTTCTTCTTTTGGTTTTTCCCTCTTCAGGGCCTCCACAGCGAGTCATCCTCCTCCATCTCACTCTGTCCTCACTCCAACTACCTCCATGTCCTCTCTAACTGCATCCAGATATCTCCTCTTTGTATTTTTCCTGGCAGCTGCATTTCTAACACCCTTCTACCAGTATACCCACCGTCCCTCCTCTGGACATGTCCAAACCATCTCAGTCTGGTCTCTAACTTTATCTCCCAGTTGTTCAACCTGTGCTGTACCTTTGATGGTCTCATTCCTTCTTATCCATCCTTGTCACTCCTAAGGAGAACCTCAACATCTTCATTTCTACAACTTCCAGTTCTTTCTCCTGTCTTTTTGTCCATGTCTCTGTCTCCAGACCAGACAACATAGCTGGTCTCACTACTGTCTTGTAAACTTTTACCTTGAACTTTGCTGCCACTTTTTTGTTTCAAATCCCTCCTGAAACTTTTCTCCATCACTCCATTCTGCCTGGACTCTCTTCTTCACCTCTTTACCACACTCCCCATTTTTTCTGGACAGTGGATCCCAAGTCCTTGAAGTCCTGCACCTTTGTGACCTCTGCTCTGAGCAAACTCGTCTATTAGCCTTTTATTTTTAACACCTGCTGCCCTTCCTGATGCAACCTAGACTTGGACTTGCAGCCTCAGGATTACACGACTGCAGCACTGACCACCGAGCTACCGCGGCCCCAAGACTCTCAGTTGGTACTTTTAGCTCAGTATTTGTAAAGTTATCTGCGTTACAGCCATTACTGTTTTGACTAAAGCAGATCAGCTGTAGACCTACACCCAATGAGTCATTTTTGAAATCTGCCCATTGGTTCAAAAATATTTTGCTAACAGGCAGGCACTGCTGAATGACAGTTATTGCTAACGTTTTAGGGCATCTTAAATTGAGTAGCACATCTACAAGTTGTAGACGTGCATCCACTGATTACTTCCCGAGTGTATGAGATATTCTAGCACTAAATGCAATGATATTTATTTTGGCCTTTTCTTCCCTTTAATTCCCGTTTTCCTTCATCGGCGGGTGTAAAAAAAATAACTAAAATAATTCAACATGTTCAGCTCACCTGCTCTCCATCTTTTCCAGGCTCCCCCTTGTCTCCTTTGTGACCAGTGTGTCCCTAATTGAGAAAATGGCATCAGATATGAGTGGGGGAACAAAAAAAAAAAAAAGTAAAACTAGATTACAATAAGAGTCATTTTAGATATAATCTGTATACCTTAAATCCTGGCATCCCAGGAGGACCTGGGGGACCAGGGGGGCAGATTGCAGGACACTGAGGAGGGCAGAAACAAAGCATTAAAGGCTCCGTGTTCATTCTGTGTAGAAGGCAGGTCTTCAGGTTCTTTTATACGACTTTAACTGCAGCAGACATCTTACCAGAAGGTCCCCGTTCAGATCATGAAGAGACCCAGGAAGCCCCTGAGACAAGAAGAAATCAATTTAATCCAACGATCGGGACGTTCTTTGATTCTTGTTCAACAAGAGAGCTAAAAATCAGTGTCTCTCGAGAAGCAGGGATCATGTCAAAATAAGTCCACTTACAGGGGGTCCATCAGGGCCAGGAGGGCCTGGAAGTCCTGGAAGTCCTTCAGCGCCCTGAGAATCAAACAGAAAGTACCAGCATTACTAATCAACAATGTTGTTCTGTCTGCTGACAATCGTTACAACCAAACTGAGTGATTAGACTAAACCTTTGGTCCAACTCTACCAGAACTTTATTTTTAGTGTCAGCCCTTTTTAAACCTGTGCTGTGCAGCCGGGTGTCTGCTGCATGTGACATAAAAAATGTTGGCTCATATTCAGAGCATTTATCTTTTTGATTTGACATCCAGTAGAGAGTTGAGGGCTTCACTGGTTAAATGAGGGGCTTGGTGAGGAAGAACTCCCAACGCGTGAAACACAAACTGAGACGAGGCTTCACGTTTTGATAAAACACTAAAACGTGCTCTCAACCTGGTTTCTAAGTAAGGTCAGAGGTCAAACAGCAATAATCAAATCACTTACACTCCTCCAAATCTGCTTACGACCAAAATAAAAATTTCTGTTTGCCAGCGACTGATTGAATGTAAACCTAAGCTGTTCTAACTTTTAGCAGCAAAGTTTTATGTTCACTCTAGTTTTTCAAGAAATTTCACTGAAACTTGATTTACTTAATTATTTGTCATGCCTCAGAATAAAACACCTTTGTTTTTACACAAGAATAAAGGAAACTAGGCAGTGTGACTTTGATGATTGCTGTAAAAATGACAGATGTGTACTGGGACAGAATACAGAATAATCTGGTGGGAAAAGTAAATGGACTGTACTTATAAAGCACTTTTCTACTTTATCAAGATACTCAAAGCTCTTTACAACACAATCTGTGCCTTCATTTACCCATTCATACAGCACTCTACTAGATCTATACAAAGAATAATCAGTGTTTTATCACATTCATACACTGATGGGACACACATCGGAGGCAATGAGGGGTTCACTGTCTGCAGGGACACTTCAACTTGTGGCTGTTTGTGGAATCGAACCCCCAACTCTCCCATTGGAGGACGACTACTCTAACCACTCAGCCACAGTCACCCCCAAAAGTGGCTCTGTCTACTTTCGATGAGCTGCTCAGACTGACCAGTTTTCATTAGTCAAAACGATGCATTATGAACTTTTTACTACATTTCTTGCTGATAATAATAATGATCACCAATAGTTTGGTGAGGACAAACAAATGCACATTTCTCTATCATTTTAACTTTAACATTTTTCTGTCTTCCTTTGCTTTGGACTCTTCAAGAACTTCATGGCGATGCAACATAGCACCATCTTCTCTACAGCTTTAGTTTGACAACAGAACAGTGACAGAGGTCCAAGTGAAACTTCGGTTCTGACTCCATCAAACCAACTCAGCTTGTGTCTTGAAGAATTACAGCATCTACTGCTATTATTGCTATTACTGCAGCTAACAAGGTACATTTACTGCCTTTTACAGGCTTCTTGTGTCTCAGCCATGTGCTTCGATTCTTAGCATACAGACACGGCTCCCTCCCTCACTCTCTCCCCCATTCTCTCTGTCTTTGCACCCAAAGGAGTCACACACAGTAATAAACATGCTTCACTGCAAATTAAGGCCAATCAAGAATGCATTGCACTGATGCATTTCAGTGCAATTCAGTTTAAAGTGAGACGTGGGCCGGGTTCAAAGGGACGTCATTTGGTTCACATCGACAACTGGATTTTTGACTTTAGTCTGATCTAAAGCTTCTAATAAACTCATCATCTGCTGCTGATTCTGCAGAGACTGTAAACTTTAAAACATGAGCTGAAGAACATCCACACCAAGCCAGTCCGCCTCCTGCTACAAGACGGGCCATCAGAACAATATGGTTTATGAAGAGGACGGTGCATGTTCCCACCTCACACTAAATGGGTGATGATGGTTTTGTTGTGGGTGGTTTATCACACAAAGAATCAGAGGGAGACTCCTTAATGATGACTCAGCCTTAACTGCGGACATGAGACAAGCTTACCACAGCACCCTGGGGTCCGACTCCTCCAGACAATCCATTGGTTCCAGGTAGTCCCTGGAAACAAAAACAAACATGATGCATGCTGGACATCTAATGACGTGGTCAGTATAATAATAGCTGGACTGAATCAAAGTATGACAAACTCAAGTTCCCAAGATGCAACTGAAAAGAGAGTAAAACTGATCCAAATACACAAAAAGCTTGAACAGGCAGTACTCACTGGAGCTCCTGGTCTCCCTCTGCCCTACGAAAGATACAGGAAGGCAAATTAAGTCACAAATACACATCACAGAAAGTTATCATGCAGGTTGTTGTTTTGTCAAAAAAATATTTGTATCTTAGTTTGGTGGTGTAAACGGAGCAGAGGCAGTTAACTGTGTCATCGTAACGTGAACAGAAGTCTGTTTAAGGCCGAGTTTCATTCTATTTTTCCTGATCAGTCTGGCTGTGGTTTCATCAGTAGAACATGAAACATTAAAAGTGCTCGTGAAGCTGCTGCACATCTGATAAGCCAACAGCACAAACAGCTCAGTGCACGCAGGGTGTTCTGTAGGTGCAACACGGTTGCTTACAGGAGGTCCGGGTGGTCCAGGAGGCCCTGCTTCACCCTGTGGACAGCAGAGAAAAACAGAAATCAGTGGAAAAAAGAAACCCCCACTGTCCTGCGTCCATGTTTGGTACAGAGAACTGTGCATGCTGAATGAAACTAATGTGATACTGAGCGAACCATTCTCAAACTGATCTCAACAAAAGGCAGAATATATTGTATTTATCTACGTGTGTGTGAATTTGTGTGTTTGTTTGTCCACTTGTAGAACATCTTGTGAACCCCTGAACATATTTGATTGAAACTCTCAGAAAGTTATAGCAGGTACGTCCACCACTGATGGACTTTTGAAGTCACTCCAATTCAAGTTGGTGTTTTCATCTTACATCACAAAGAAATGTCTACAAGTCGGCCATTTTTATAAATATGGAGCTAAAATTTGGTGTGGTAGCAGCTGAGAGTCAAAGTTTGGCCTGTGGTGTGCTAATTGAAGGTCCGTGGTCTTCAGGGGAGTGTGAGTGGTCAAGGAGCAGTGATGACTCAGCTGTGTTTGTGTTCTCTCTGAGGTGAGAAGGCAAAAAACAAAAGTCAAATTAAAAGCCCATCATTCCTTGAAGAAATGTATTTCACCTGCCACCTTTCAGTCTAGTTTTAAACTCAAATTCTCTTAAGATGAAAATGGTGGAGTTCAGGCTGTGGAGAAATAATAACATGAAGTTACGCAAAATCTAGTCTAGAGTTAGGACTAAGCATGTGTTGAAGATGACGCTCAGTTACTACTGTAGCTCAATTTCTGACAAAGTTATAACCGTTTTTGAGTTGTTAATATGGATTGGCTCTGGCAGCCATCTTAAATTGGAGTGATGTCAAAAGTTAATGAGTTGTAGATCCATCCAGGTGATCCATGAAGTGTTTTAAAAATCATACGTTATTTGTAGTTGCCTTTCTCACACTCAAGGACACCGAACATGGTATAAGTAACACATATTCAATTCAGTTTATTTATATAGCGCCAGATCACAACAAAGTTGTCTCAGGGCACTTTACAGAAACATTCACATACATAAAA